AACCGACATTCTCCCATTTCCAGGGTTCCAGAAATAAGTCGTTCTAACCCTTCACCTTCCTCCTCTGTCTTTTGTCCCTTGTGTTTTCCTGTATTTATTTATTTTTTAAAATAATGCTTTTATTAATTCTTTGAGACTTTCATCCAGTACACTCTGATCATATATATTGCCCTCTCCTGAGTCCTTTCAGATTCTCCTCTACATCCTGTCGAAGTTCCTTCTATTTGTATGCTGCTTTCAATGGATAACGAATAAAGAAACTGCCTTGGCCTAGTCGATAGGGCGGAACTTAGGTAGGTGGAGAAGACAGAACTGAATTCTGGGAGAAAGAAAGCAAGTGAGAGAGCTGCCATGGAGCTGCCAGAATCAGACATGCTGAATCTTTCCTGGTAAGCCACAACCTCGTGGTGATATATAGATTAATAGAAATGGGTGAAATCAAGATGTGAGAGTTAGCCAATAAGATGCTAGAGATAATGAATGGGCCAGGCAGTGATTTTAATTAATACAGTTTCTGTGTGGTTATTTTGGGTGTAAGCTAGCCGGGCGACCAAGATGGAACAAGGGCCTGCTTCCATGCAACACCTACCTACCCAAATTTTTGCCACCCACGCCCTAAACCAGCTAGTGTTGGCCAACTGGTCCTAGGTGTGGCACCTGCCCCGGAGTGTGCTTCAATATACCTGGAGCCTCTCCATGAAGAAGACTAACATTTTCCCTCCCATCAGTAATTGGATGTCCTCTAGGCCCTAGTGGAGAAACAAGCACCATAACTCCGCTAATGATTAATTGCTATGCCCATAGATCAGCTCTCTCTCATCCCTCACCAGAGAAGTTCCTTGCGGTAGATAACAATGAACTCAGAGACCCACAACTAGCTAATGGGCAGAGAATAAGAGCTATCAGAGTGCCCAGCCACAAATGTCTGCATTTCCTCTCTTCCCTCACGGCTCAGGGATCTTTGCAGAAGAAAAGATTCTAGGAGCCAGAAGTGCTGACCGACCTCAAGGAGACAGTGTTTTCTGGATGTTACAGGCAGAGGCACATGTGGATGCCCAGCAATCACGACAGCATGCTTCAGACCAACTCAGCCACAAGCCAGACGAAATCCCAGCACAAGCAGAGGATGTGCGTACCAAATCCCCTTTAAACACTTTACTACTATTTTAATTTATCATATTTTAAAGGGATTTATGCATTTACTTTATTCCCCTTTATACATTTACACAGCTTTGCCTATGCGTGTTATTTCCTGCAGTCCGTCTCTTTTCGAATCTCCCATATTACTGCCCACTTCAACTTTTCTTCTTACGACACTTTTAGGAGTGTTTGTACTCATTGGCTAAAAGCAAAAACAAACAAGAAACCAAAAACCTCTCAGATTTTAATTTCTCTTCTTTTGTTCACTTATCTACTTACCTAATTTTGACAATGGGTTTTCTCACTGTCAGGAAGTCTTTCTTCATTTTTTTCTAATTTCCTGTTACTCCCTCTTTCCCTTCATTACACTTTTCTCTACTTCTCTCCCTTTCTTTGGTTTATTTAACTTTGCTTCTCCTCCATTTCCCCTTCTCTCTGTCCCATTCCCTCATTGTATTTATTTACAACTTTGATCCTAAATAAAATTTAACTTAATATCAAAACTTACAATAGTTTTCCCATTTACTGACTTAACAGTCAAGAGTGTCAGTTGGCTTACCCCCCCTTTTTTTTTTCTTTTTGTGAATGTCTGTATCTTGTATTGTTTGATGTTATGGTGACAGGCTACCATTGTTTGTCCTATCCACCAAGAGCCACACTAGAGGTGCAAGACCTCAAAAATGAGCTGTTCAATAAGAAGATGTCCACACAAATGCAGAAGCAACATTTAACCCCATGGAAGTGTGGGCTACAGCAGACTAGCAGACGGTCAGCGCTCCTCCAAAGGAGGATGGCGCCTTAACTTCTCAACTCAGAGATGATGGACTGGGTAAAATGGTGAAGAAAGATTTCAAAATTTACTGGTGCCCCACCAGTGCCCCCAAAGAGGTACAAAGAAGCAAAAGAACACTGCAAAGCAGCAGGGTACAAAATTAATGAACAAAATTCAGTAGCTTTCCTTTATGTCAGTAATGAAATTATGAAAAAACGAATCAGAAAGGGCATCCCATTTAGCACAGAATTACAGTTAAAAATACCTATAAGTGGAGCATGATGGTTCAGGGATTTAATTTCAGCACTCCAGAGGCAGAGGTATTTCTGTGCATTCAAGGCCAGCCTGGTCTACACAGTGAATTTCAGAACATCAACATAGTGAGATCCTGTTTCAAAACAAAGAACCGCCTCCCCCAAACAAAACAAATCCCCCTCCAACACCTAAGAAATAAAACCTAACCAAGGAAAGGCCTCTACAATGAAAACATTCAAACTCCAAGGAGAATGAAGAAGGTATCAAAAGATGGGAAGGAGTGCTGGAGAAATGACTAAGAGGTGAATAGCACTGGCTGCTCTTTCAGAGGTCCTGAGTTCAATTCCCAGCAACCTCATTGTGACTTACAACCATCTATAATGAGATCTGGTGCCTTCTTCTGGCATGCAAGCATACAATCAGACAGAACACTGTATACATAATAAACAAATAAAATTTAAAAAAAATGGGAAGAACTCCCAAGCTGGTAGATTAGCAGACTTAATATTGTAAAAAGGGTCATATTACCGAAAGCAGTCTGCAGATTAGCTGTATTATATAAATCACAGCATCAAAAAGAACATGCCACTGACATATAAATATATAGAATATAATAGAGGGACCAGAAATAAATCTACACAGTGAGTGCCACCCAATCTTTGGCAAAGATATCAAAAACATACACTGAAGAAGAGACCACTTCTTCTACAAATAGTGCTGGGAAAAATTATACCCAGTGAAGAACTTGATCCCCAAATCTCACTCAACACAAAAATCAATTTGCAATAGAGCAAAGACCTTTATTTAAGAGCAGAAACTTGAAATGGCTATAGGAAAACATGGGTAAAATGTTTCAGGATATAGGCATAGGTAAGATCTTTTTAAAAAAAAGACTCAAAACAATCACTCAATTTTTCCTATCCTTCTTTTCATTTTTTCCTAATAACCTTAATTATTCATTTTTACTCATGTAAATATTCACAAATATTTATGTGGTGGATTGGTAGACAGGACTGGTATACATCATTTCAATGACTGGGGGGTAATTCCTGTAGAGAGGTCCTTCTCTATAGATGACCTTGTTTCCATGTAAAGATTTTCATTGATGTCAGCAACCTGCTACTGAGAACACATTAAAGAGTTCTCTAGTTTGAGACAGCAAAACAACAGAAGAACTAATAGAAAATATTTATGTGAGATAATTGAACATTCCAGCCAAGACATTGGCACTAGTAAATCTTTGAGCACTACTCCTTCAAAATGGAGAGAGCTAGGAAATGATGTGTGGAAGAAAGCCCAAGGGCCTTGGAGAAATCTGGAGTTAGCTTTCCCAGGTAGGCAGTTGAAGGTACTGATTTCTGAGTATCTAATACCAATCACACCAAATATTTTATTTAAAATGTTTTCTAAAAGATTTATTTATTTCCTGTATGTACAACATTCTGCTTCCATGTATGACTGCATGCCAGAAGAGGGCACCAGATCTTATTATAGAGGCTATGAGTCATCATATGGTTGTTGGGAATTGAACTCAGAGGACTTCTGGAAGAGCAGCCAGTGCTCTTAACCTCTTAGCATCTCTCCAACCATATCTAAAAAATTTTAAATATCCACTCAAGGACCCTACCCAGGATTTAATAGGAATCACCATTACAAAAACTATAAAGTAAATACAAGATTGATGTGGGATAATTGTCTGTATTCTGATGGAGGAGGATCATCTGTCTATGTGTTACTTTCATTGGTTAATAAAGAAACTGCCTTGGCCCTTTGATAGGACAGAACATTAGGTAGGCGGAATAAACAGAACAGAATGCTGGGAGGAAGAAGGTAGTGAGGCAGTCGTCATGACTCTCCTCTCCTAGACAGATGCAGGTTAGGATCTTTTCCAGTAAGCCACCACCTTGTGGTGCTATACAGATTACTAAATATGTGTTAAAGCAAGATGTGAGAATTAGCCAATACGAGGCTGAAACTAATGGGCCAGGCAGTGTTTAAATGAATACAGTTTTTGTGTAATTATTTCGGGTAAAGCTAGCCGGGCGGCGGGAAGCGGCCCACCGTTCCATTTACAACAGTATTCTGTCAATCATGTTTTAAATAAATGCTGATTGGCCAGGCAGGCAGTATAGGTGGGCCAACCAGACAGGAAGTAGAGGCAAGGTGATGAGAACAGGAGTATTCTAGGAAGCAGGAAGCTCCCTCCACAGTTCTGCTCCCCGAAGAAGCAAGATGTGAGCTGCCCTGCTGAGAAAGGTACTGAGCCATGTGGCTAACATAGATAAGAATAATGGGTTAATATAAGCTATAAGAGCTAATAAGTAGCCTGAGCTAATGGGTCAATCAGTTTTATAACTTATGGAGATCTCTGTGTGATTTTCTTTGGGACTTGCTGACTGTGGGGTACCGGGCAGGACAGAAACCCCAACAAGCCAGCCTTCATGTTACACAAGATTGAGGTTCCAATCATGAAATCCAATTATTGATGTTTTAGAAATGTCAGGATAGCCATATTTTTAAAGGGATAATATGTTGTCCATTAATATACACATTTCTAAAATTTTACTGTCAGTTAAAAAACAAAACTAATACATTTTTTCAAAGGCTACAACTCATGGAAAAAGTAAAATGTACAGAGTAATTTTCGAACAAAAAAGTAACACGGGAAAGGCTAATTCAGACTCTGAAGTGGTAAGGTTTGGAGATGAAGCCTTGGTTAGGTATGAAAGGGACAATGTTTTCATTAGGTTTTTATGTGAAACTCCACTGAGACTAGTCAATGGGAAGAAGAAGAAAGGCGTCCATCCGCATACACATTGACGCGGGAACTTACTGCCATCGGGTTCTGTCCTTCAAGGAGTTCTTCCTGGAGCCAGTCCCTTCGCTGGAGCTGTCCTCCTCCTCCATCTCCAAGCTTCGGCTGCAGCTCCGGATGATCTGAAAGATGCTGTTGACCGTGGACTCCTTCTCTGAATTCTTCAAGCCATTCTGCCCCACTCGTTGTAAGAAGTTGTCCTGTCCACTGTAATCAGCTACAAACTACAGGAGGAAAGTTCAAGAATGCACTGTTGCAATCTGATATGTCTGATTTTAGGCTAGGAGCCCTAAATCATAATAGCGGTAAACAATGGCATCTGTGCCTGTTTTCCTACAAGAGTCTCCAAGACAAGCTTTTATTTCCTGTGTTTTCATCCCACACGTGAAATCCCAAAACTTGCCCTTTTCTTGCTGCGACAATCTCAGCACCTCTAGGAATCTAAGCTGCACTTTGAATTTATAACACAAAAGGCAATATTATCTCATGGCTCCCTCGGGACAAGGTTCGCCACTTCACAGGGAAGGGCAGCTATTTTATCCTTGTAACGGGAATTGAGGAGAGAACCACGATTAAAGAGCACCAGGGCACGGAACAAGATGAAGTGACCCGGCTCAAGACAAACACTTAAAACGCTGCCTTTTGGCTTTCTTGTCCATGTGTGCTACAGGAAGACAGTAGCTTCTTGGTGGTTTTTAAGCTACTGTTGTGGCTTCATCTTAATCAGGAAGCTTCCAGAATCAGAGGGAAGATCCACTGCCCAGGCAAGAGACGCAGTGCTCCTTCTTTACCGCAGGCAGCGGAGGAGAGTGGAGGGTGGGAGGCTTTCTCAAGCCTTCTCATCATTTACTGGGCGTTTAATACCAGCTGCTAAAACCAAGGAAATATTAGCCAGTGGGTATCACTTGTGCCTGTTTGTGGACCTCAAGTCTTCCTGGACCAAGTGATGCCTCTGTTCTCAGGTGACATGAAATGGGCTGAAGTTTGATGAGTCTTCACAGTTCAAGTGAGGAAGAATACGCTTTTGTTCACGTACACGCATGTGTGTATGTGTGCGTGTCTATTAATAAGACTATGAATGACCCTGAATTTGGCCTTGAGCTTTCCAAATACATAATGCCTCCACCACCTCCCTAACATATTTTAAAAAGACTTTTATTTCACTTTTAAACAGAGGGAAGTTTCCTTATTTCTTTGAGCCTCTCTATGCCCCTTATTCAATGTCTTGATCAAAGCTTACATTGTCCTCGCCACTTTGGCAGGAGTTAAGAGCAGAAGCCACGGTCTTAGGGGAGTGGGTCAGAGCCTATGTGTCTGGATGAGGCACCCGTGCTCTTGGCATCTTTTTACAAGCATGAAGAGAAGGCGACAATGGTTTTCCCCAGTACTCTACCCACTGATTTGGAAGTTATTGCTCTCATTTGATTTTATTCTCTGAATCCAGACAGTTTTACCCTATCGCAAAAACTTACCAACTTTTAAAATTAAAACAACAAAATTCCAATGACATTTTCCCCTTTGTGTTCAATGGTGTCATATTAAATCTAAAGTGACAATATTGAGTTCCAAGCAACTGGTGTTACTTTCTGCAGAACTTTCAAGGACCTCCTCTGCCCAGGAACAACACACCAAGGCTTACTCTAGACTCAGGAAGTGATTCTCTGCACTAAGGACCAGGAGGGCATCTTAGGGAGTTGCCCACTTGGAGTTACTTACCTCCAGAGCTTCTTCTTGGGAGCTGTACCGTGGGCAGAGCTTCAGGAGGCTGGAGGCACCATCGAGCACTTCGCAGAGCTCCTTCAGGAACACCCCACAGAAGGGAACCACCTTACAGCCAGGGATGTGCAGAGCACGGGTCACCACCTTCTTGTACTCCAGGGAAGACTCATGCTGAGCCATGGCATCCTTCAGGCTCCTCATGGTCTCAATGTCAGACTGATCCATGAACTGCCACATCTTTAGAACTTTCCTTGACCTATTGCAAGTAAATGATAATTTTTTAAGCCTGAAGGGGTGACAATGTAGCTTACAGTAGGTAGACTGAACTCCATACAGCTTCATCGTCTTTAACTTCTTAAGGATTTTTCCCATGTTATTAATTGGTTGATTAAGGATTTCTGTCTTCAGTTACTTCCCAAGATGATGAGAATATTATTTATTTTAAATAAACTACGAAGTAAGGGCGCTTCAGTGGGTAAAGGCCCTTAGTGCACAAGTCTGAGGGCCTGAGTTGGGGCCTGAAATCCAAGTAAACATATAAGGAGAAAACTAACTCCAGAAAGTTGTTCTCTGACCTCTGCATGCACAGTCTCCACATATGTCACATATAAAATAATAATAAAATTAAAAATTAAATAGGACAGACTCAAATAGAAATAAGGCTAATTATCAAAACTGAAAATTATATGTTGACTAGAGTGTATTATCAAGAAGAAAACAAGGTTGACTGCTCTTCAAAGGATATAAGAAAATGGCTTATTCTGTGCAAATATGAGTGAACATGACCTAGAAACACAGGTTCCAAATCCTCTGAATGACATGCCCCACCATGGAAAAGGATATGTGAGCTTTTTATAGTCACAGAACAAAACAAATTCATGTATCAATATATATTGCTGGGAACAGCAGGTGAGATGGACAAAGTAGAAAAACCTCTTCTTCAGATTTCAAATGCTGTCTTCTTATATTCTTAGCTTTAGAGCTAGTGAAGGATAAAGATCTGTGAAACTTAGCAAAACATTCCAAAAGTTTCACCTAAGAGTCACCTCAATGTTAGGGGTTGACAATAAAAAGATATAAAAGAGACTAAACACAACTCAAGATGGCATTGACTCTTGATTTGCAATAGTCCTCTTCAATCAATCAATCAATCAATCAATCAATCAATCAATCAATCAATATGCTTTAGCTAGCCAAGGTCAGTCTGCTGGACCCTCCACACAGATGTGGCTTCTTCAGAGGACTTCAGCTCATAGTAACATGGCATTCTAGATAGCTTCATTTGTCAACTTGACACAACTGAGAGGAAAATCCTCAATGATAAATTGTTTAGGTCAGATTTATCTGTGGGGACTGCCTAACTGTTGCTAATTGATGTAAGATTGGTGTGGGAGAATTATCTGTATTCTGTCAGTCATGTATTTTAATAAAACGCTGATTGGCCAGGCAGGAAGCATAGGCGGGAAAACCAGAAAGGAAGTAGAGGTAGAACAAAGAGAATGGGAGTATTCTGGGAAGCAGGAAGCTTCCTCCGCCACTCCTGCCCAGACCACCGAAGAGGCAACATGTGAGCTGCCCAGCTAGCAAAGATACTAAGCCGTGTGGCTAACATAGATAATAATAATGGATTTATATAAGTTACAAGGACTAACTAGAAACCTGAGCTAATGGGCCAATCAGTTTATCATCTTATGGAGTCCTGTGTGTAATTTTGATTGGGACTTGCCGGCTGTGGGGTACCAGGTGGGGACAGATACCCCAACAAACCGGCCCTCATGTTACATATGGTGCCCAGCGTGGATAACTGCATCCACATAAAGCCTGAGACAGCTTGGGAAGTAATTCTAGAACAAAATGACAGCATTGCATGTGGTTTCTTGGTAGCAGCAATTTCTTGGGTCCGCTTTGCTTGCTAGAGGCAAGCAAGTACTCTCATCTAAGAGAGGCTTCCTGACTCAGCTTTAGTTGCAAAAACCCTGCAGCTCATTAAGAGGTCCTGCCACGAAAAACTTAAACGGTATTGATGAAAAGCTGAACGCATGCTTTTCAGTTTTCAGCCGTAGCAGGAAAAAAGCTGTGCCATTTTAAAATGCCAGCTTTCTGGGCCATCCTGCCAGGGCAAACTCTGCCTCTTTCAGGCAGGCAGTCTGACTATGGAGGATTTGAATGTGGTCTGTGAGCAGAATGCTGCAGCTTGCTTGCTGGCAGGGACCTTGAAACGCCACAGAGTTGTGGCAATAAAAAGGGCTCCAGCGGTACCTCTGCCATGAGGCTGGAAAGCTAAGAAATGGGCTGGATCTAATTGTCAAAGCCATGGCTTTAGTCTTACCCATTAAAGACTCATGTGGTCAGAAAAAGAGAGATGTACAGTAAAGAGAGATTCAAAGAGGAAGAAAACCTCTAAATGGTTTACAGTGTATTAAAAATATATACAGGTTAAAGGTTAAAGTCATTAAAAAGAAAGAAGGAGAGAAGTAGGGTATGGTAGTACACACCTTTAATCCCAATGCCTGGGAGGCAAAGGTATATTGACCTCTGTGATTTCAAGGTGTGGTAGCACACACCTTTAATCCCAGTGCCTGGGAGGCAGAGCAGACAGGTTTCTGTGAGTTCAAGGTGTGGTAGCATACACCTTTGAGTACAGCACTGGGGAGGCAGAGACAGAGGGATCTCTGTGAGTTCAAGGACAGCCTGGTCTACAGAGTTATTCCAGGACAAAGATATACAGAGAACCTGTCTCAAAAAGTAAAAGTAAAAATAAAAGAAATAGAGGTTAAAATAGAGCCGCATAAAGATGGAAAATACACAGAGAATCTTGATACTGTATGCTATTATGCTCTCTTTGAATTGTTTGAATGCTGAGGAAGGAGCAACAGCTGCTAAAAGACTTTTGTTTATAAATGCTGCTGAACTAACCCAAGATAGGTATTTTGAAAATACCTTGGTTTCAAAACTGAAGTCAAAAGGTATGTTACTTTGGAGAAGAGATTTTGCTTTTGTTTCCACAGAAGATGAGAGACTGTGGATTCATACTGAGTTAAGAAAAATCAGGTTCGATAAAGGAAGATCACCTGAGAAATCTCTGATAGGAACAGATGACCCAGATGACAGAGTTCTACATCCAGAACAGATTCAAGACTGCTGCCTGAGATGATCAAGACTCATAGGATACTCCAATCAGGACTTGATTATAACTCTAAATTTTCTTTAGGTTCCCATAAGATTATCAGCGCCCCCAACCAGCAGGAAGTAGCCTGAAATACTATGCCCACATTCCCAACAAATGGACTATGGGTATTTTCCTTTGTTTAAAAAAAAAAAAGAGAGGGAAATGGTGCGGGAGAATTATCTGTATTCTGTCAGTCATGTATTTTAATAAAACGCTGATTGGCCAGGCAGGAAGTATAGGCGGGAAAACCAGACAGGAAGTAGAGGTGGAGCAAAGAGAATGGGAGTATTCTGGGAAGCAGGAAGCTTCCTCCACCATTCCTGCCCAGATCACTGAAGAGGCAACATGTGAGCTGCCTAGCTAGAAAAGGTACTGAGCCGTGTGGCTAAAATAGATAATGATAATGGATTTATATAAGTTACAAGGACTAACAAGAAACCTGAGCTAATGGGCAGACTATTTTTTTTACACTTTGACAGATATTATATTTAAATATAAAATGTTCCTCACAGACTCAAGTTTAAACATTTGGGGAGATTCCTGCCTCCTTATGGGAGCACTATTTTAGATGGTTTCAGAGATCTTAGAAGGAGGAGGTCTAGCTAGAAGAAGATCACTGTGGGCAGGTCCTTGGTGATAATACCTTGCCCTTGAACCTTCCCCTTTCTCTCTGATTTCCAATGTGTTCCCAATGAGGGAAAGAAGCCTCTCAACTGCATGCTCCCCACACCATCATGTTCTACCCAGTCACCAGTAGCCAAGCAAACATGTGTGGAACACCTTGAAACCATGAGCCAAAAATAGACACTTGCTCCTTCAAGCTGTTCTTTCAGGTATTCAGGACAGTGATGAGAAAGTTGGTACACTAGGCCATCATGCAGTGAGAGGCCCTGGCACAAGAAGCAGGAGGGCAGACAGGGAGTCACTGGGAAGGAACTGGGAAGGAATGTGAGAATAGTCCACATCTATGCCTGTGAGGGTAGAGACAATTGCAGCCAGCCAAGTAGTACTTTTAGTTCCTTCAATACCTGTTCCCTCTGCCCTGTTCTTCCCCCTCCCTACCTTCCCACTCCTCTCTATTCCTCCCTCTTCGAGGGACCAGGGCTTTGCAGTTGGAAGAATGTAGTGCATTTCCCCTTCGTGATAACTACCAATTAGGTACCTTGGTAAATGTGGCTGGCTGCCCAGAGAATTAATTCAGAGATATCTAAGTAGACAGAGAAACCTGTCCAGATTGCCATACTTTCTTACCTGAGGCCAGCCAGGAACTCCATGACAGCGTTGTAGTTGCCCATGTTCCAGCAGCATTTGGCCACATGCACCAGATGTGAGAAGACTTCCCGCTTCTCCTCCATGGAGCCTGCTGTGAGGATCAGCCAGGTCACCCAGGAACTCACCTGGAAGATGGAGGGGGCAAGCATTCACTGAAGACATGTCTGGGAAACTCAATAAACACTGTTTATTTATTTATTTATTTTTGGATTAAAAAGAAAATCACTTTGGGACCTGGAAAAGAAGCAAGCAGAGAGCTCTAATGTGAAAACCGACTCCATTGCTGCTTTGATATGCCCTCGGGAAGTCAGTCTGTTTACATCTTCATATCCATCTTGAAATAAAAACCCTCTTGATCTACACGATTCCTTGAAACTCTAAAATATCGGGCTCATGGATACTCTGAATGGAATGTGACTGATGGACCTGAAGATTGAATTCAGACATTGTATTTAGCCCATAAGTTGAGAACCCTTATCAAGCAATGAAATGTGTGATATCAGGGCTGGTAAGACAGCTAAGCAAGTTGAAGCACCTGCCATGAAAGTCTGACAGCCTGATTTTCATCTCTGGTGCCCACATGGTGGAAAAAGAGAGTAAAAGTTCTCCAATGTTGTCGTCTGTCTCCACATGGATGCCATGGCATGAACTCCTGTGCAGGTGTGCACACATACACACACATGCATACACACATAAGTATATGCATAAATAAATAAAAATCTTAACAGAATTAAAATGGGTGGTACCAAGGAAAAAATACAAAAATATTTTGGAACAATCTCTTAAACATACTAATTTATTGTCTTCTTTAAATAACAAAACCCACCTCACGTATCTCTCACAATAGTCCAGAGTTAGGGAGGAGCTGAAGAACCTCAGGCCATAGGGAGCAAAGGCTTTCCTTGGACTAGGGGTTAAAATTTGGTGGCCTGCCCCATAAAGCCCTCACCACCAAGTGAGCACACAGGAAATATCATGTTTGCTGGCTTCCAGATTACATTTTTCTACTGTGACTTGCTTTTTCTACCACATAGTCCAGCGTATAAAACTTGGTGATTCCCATCTACACCTGCTTTATGGCATCAGTGTCTAGGTGACCTCCTCCTGCTCTAAGATTATTTTCCTATTGTTCATGCTGGTGCTTGGCCACTGCTATCCACTAAGTTGACTTGCCTTCTCCACCCTTGCCAACTCAAGGGAGGGTGACCAGTTGTTTGTTGTTGACCATATTAGTTGCATGTGGGTCAGCAACAGAGCTGAAACCTACGGAACAACTCTTTCTTCAGCCTGTGTGAAAAGAGGCCTGAACAGAGTTCATGGTGACCCAGACATCTGAGGAAATAGGAGTTCAAGGTAGAGAACACACTGCCCACAGATGGAAACAATAAGAATTAGTGTCGGCAGCAACCAGAGAGGGATGTCTAATGGCAGTTTTTCAGATCTAGAATCTCTGCTATGCCAGGCCCTGGGTTTGATCCCCAGCATCACAACCAAAACAAAAGAAATGAAACACAACCAAGAACAAAACAAAACTAAACAAACCAAAAGAATACATGTCTCAGGAGAAACGACTTCTTAAAGACTACTGACTCTCAGTTTAGTGCTCTTATTTAGCTGGTGAAAGGTGACAATTTCTTTATTTACTTCTTTCTGGGTGGACTCTCCTGAGCACTCAGTTTGGAGCGTTGCCTTTGAAGACAGAGACAGAATTAAAGGAAAACACACCAAGAACTGTGCCTCCAAGACCATTAAAGAAAAACCATCACCATCAAAACCCCAAGCCAAACCCCAGTGTAGAGGATGGATGCTCCACACCTCTTTTTTAACCTGGCCACAGAAACAAGTAGGGAAACAGAGGCAATGGGGGCAGGGCAGTGATGAGGCAGGACTGCACTCTGGTGGTGGGTGCACTGGAGGAAGAAGCTGCTGATTCCTTTCTGAAACAGGCTGAAGTAAAACCTGTAGTTCCAATACCCAGGAGGCTCTGGGTACACTCTGGTATCTCCTTGCTCGGGAGGATGCCAGCTGCGTGCAAAGATAGAACAGACCTGGAATCAGTCTTTCCCATGCCGCCCTCCTAGGAAATTCTCTGGGGGTTCTCAGAGCTGTGCTCTCCTGCAGCTGCAAGCAGTCCCCTGCTTGGTCTCCCAGCCTTGCTTCCCTACTATTTAATAGTCATTTCCTCAAACCTTGGCCCTGCTGGACCAAGAAAAAATTTGCCCAACAGAGACTGGCCGTGGTCTGGTGCTACAGCCAATTCTTCCTTTAGCTTGGCTTGCGTTTGGTGGATCTTAACCTAGAATGGGGAACCAAATCAAACCATTCTTTACATGTAGAAATGGGGTCCTGAACACTTAAAATGTCTCCGCAGAGTCGAATCAGCCAGCTCCTGCCTGAGGCCAGGGGCTGCCGGAGTCCTGCGGCTTTAGGGCCTTTCATACTGAAAGTCACTGTAATATTCCTGTCATGTAGTAAGTAGAAAGGGTTAACCCTCACCCAGGAGGGGCCCCTCCCAGAGCAGCACAGACCACTACTTGTTTGTGTCTCAATCCTGATCACGCACACAGATTTATTTCCTATCAGTCAAATCATTTCCCATACACTTTCCCACATGCTAGGGAAAAAATAGCAATACTGTATTTCACATGGAAACATAATTTAAACCAACTGTTCCAACCCTGAGTGTGAGTCCCTAGGGTCCCTGGTTGTTGAGATTATATAAGCACTGTTATCATAATCTCTCCATCTCTCTCTCTCTCTCTCTCTCTCTCTCTCTCTCTCTCTCTTTGTTCTCTTTCTCTCTCTCTCTCTCTCTCTCTCTCTCTCTCTCTCACACACACACACACACACACACACCACATCAAGTTACAAACTACAATCTTGTGATAGCATAGTGTATTTATGATTTTATTGGTGCTAAGTGGTGAGAGTGTTAATAATGAAACAAGATAAATGAAAAAAACAAAGAGAGACAAAACTTTTAGTGGTATTGAATGTTGCCCACAACATAAATGGCAGTTATACTTAGCAAGCAGAGGGGAAGAATGCTGCCAACTCAGAGAGAGTTTCAGGACCTCAATCACAAAGGAAAACATGAAATCGTGCACAGTACTATTACTCTTCTATAGGGAACACCCAGAGCCCAGAGCACAGGGGAGTTACCTGTAGGAGACTGTTTTACCTAATGTCAATGGTACAGCATGAATGAGCAGAGAATCAGATTCTGGGCCAGTTCATATATACATAAACATGATTTATTGATAGAGTTATTTATATGGGCCTGTCTGTGTGAGTTTCTCTGTGAGTATGTACATTGGATAGATCTCTCAGGGCTTATGCAAAAAGCACTCCCTGCTGCTAAGTCATCTCTCCAGTTCCTCAGTTTAAAAGCTTGTCCCAGAAGGCTTGGGTTTACTCTGAAGATCCTAACCCCTGAGCCATGCCTACAGCCTACAGTTTCTCTACAATTGCTCCTTTCCAGATATATCCTTCCTTCCTTCCTTCCTTCCTTCCTTCCTTCCTTCCTTCCTTCC